ATTAAAGGCTTTCTAGCTAATAATATTTGGGATTGTTTTAATTAGTGTGTCTGTACGTGTGATGACTGCTTTGTGCGACTGAATTGTACTATTAGGATGTTGTACGTAATTGGTCTTAGGTCTATCTTGTAAAAGATATCTTGATGTCAATGAGACTTCCTGAATAAATAAAGCTTAACTAACAAATATGCACAACAGCAGCGTGTGTCCATTTTAACAATGAACAATTGTACAACTGAAATTTAAGGGAACATCACATGACTCAGTAAAGTGAGTAAAAGGACACGTAGAAGTTGCACAGTATACTGCCACTTTGTTGATTTGGTGTGTTATATTTCCTAGTGCACTAGTGTTCATTTCAAAGTGATTTTGCATTATTTCATGTTATTCTGGTTTGTACCAACAGATCAGTTTTGTACCAACACTGCACAACGTCTGGCAACAGCTTTCAGTGTTTCCTCCCATTTGGTGGGTGTGTCGGGGAGAAAATCATGACATCCATAGCACAAACCCAATGGAAGAGTTAAGTATAAGCCCTACAGTGTTCCAAACAGCCGTCAATACACGATGAAACATATATTTAAATGTTTGCTTTCAATGTTCTCTTTTTCTACGTTTTGGCAGAAGGGATTTGTTTCTCAATGACATCAAGAGAGTCGGTCCAAGCGTAACTGTATTAAGGCGGATTTTCCCTTTAATGTACCAAAGGATATATTTGCTGGGGGGGAAAAAATGAAAAGAGTCCTTAACTTTATAGATTCAGAGTATATCCACTTCTACGAGGAGCCAAAGGAAAGTGGTCACTCTCTTCAGCTGCTCATGAGAACTGGCAAACACACAGAGTGAAGTGTGCTTCGGGGAGGGTGAGGGAAAATGTAACAGGCAACCAGAGGGAGAGAATGAGAAAGAGGGAGGATGGTAGTCACTCACTGTGAGAATCATTTCTAATGTTTCTTCACACAGCAATATTTCTGTAGGGGCTGTCACATTTAGAAACATTGGTAAGTCGGGTCCTGTGAACCCAGAACTAGTGTCTAACATGGCAGAGGCACGGCCACAAGACTGCTGAAGACTGAAAACTTATGTGTTACACCACATTTTTCTGAAAACAAATCTAAGCCTAGTGATAGCAGGCATGGGAAGTTCAGCTGAATACTGCCCTCATATTTAGTGCTATATACTTTGGACAATTTGATAAATATAATCTACCATCATAGTATTTGTTACATTACTATTTGAATCCAAAACTTCACTTCACAACCAATAAACATTTACTGACAAAAGTAAATAGGAACCAATAACTCAAGACATTCATAAATAGGATAGTTTTAGGGAATAGGATTTTTAGAGAACCACAGTAATGTAAGAGGTTGTTGGTAATATTTGGTCATTGGCCATTTTCAAGCCCAGAGGCATAAAAAAAAAAAAAAAATGCTCCATTACAAATTCGCTGTCATTGTCAGCAAGTTGGTCAACTTGCATTTGGAGAGCTATCGGATCTTTGCTGTAATAGGCTACACGTCACTGCCATCAAGTAAGCACGTAGGCAAGAACAAAGACATAACAGTCTTCTCTATCCGGGACACATTATGCACCGACTGGAAGAACCAATGGCTTTTCACGAAAACTGCAAATGTGTATGCCATTAGAGGGACAGTGCATCATTCGACCTTGGATATTCCACGGAGCACAGAGGGCTAGTTGAAGATGTTGGGAAGTGGAATTGTTCTGATGATGACCCCAAAGTCAAACCCCTCACGTCATAGAAGCAAGTGTGCAAGCCCTACTGGAATGCATCAGTCAGCAGAGTCCATAAAGGACTCTTTTTACTGGTCTAGCACCCCACTCTTGACCTTGTGTTTGGCGGTGCGTGCTGGTAGAAGCGTCGCTTGCCAGCCATTGACTGTCTGACTGAACTGAGTGACGCCGTCTTGCTTACAGTCTACCCTGAAAATTACACTAAGAATGTGTCACATATTATAAAGGGAGATGATGTACATATACGTCACTTAAAGAGTTTGTTACAGTACATGTTAGTTTCTCCCCATTTCCTCTTGAACTGCCTTCATGAACTGTGAGAAACAAGCACTGAATTTATTCAAGCCTCCTAAACAGCAGCACACAATTCAGGACTTGTATGACCAACCTTCTCATAGTTGTAAAAATCAATCATAGTCATAGCTGAAGTGATACATTTAAATTCAAGACAGAATTCAACTGTTGTTGTTGCAAACTTCCAAGAAATCGTTGTAGACAATCATTGCCTTCATAGTCTGAAAGCTTACAACAATGAACCAAATTAGCCATTACTGTCTAAACAGCCATTTTTTTGCATAAGCTTCTGTCAAAGAACTAAAAACAACTCACCAAAAGTTAAATGGTGAGCTACAGATATGATCAAACTCTAAGATCCCTCAATAGCTAAGCAAACCCTTGGTCCCGCACACAGTAGGCTATGAAAGAATAAATGATGCCATCCCCTATGTCAAACATATAACACACAGGGTGACAGCAGATTACACATCCTGCTCAACCTGGTGGGCAACCATTTTCCAAGAGCAGAAAACTAATCTTGGCTAGGAAACATGAAACAAACTGCTGCCAAAAACCCAAGACAACACAAAGGCATATCAAAGAGAACAATTCGTAGGCTATATAAAATACTGCATAAAATGTGGCTATATACATAGTTGATTTTCACCCTATAATTTTCTTTTGAATAAAACACGACGAGAGTACACAATGCTACAGATTCAGACTACAGCTACATTTCTACAAAGAGCCAAAATGAGAAGACATGATGGAACTAATCATAAATAAACCTGAAGACACCATTGAGTGAACATTTCCTTTTCTACAAGGTTTTGGGAAGTTGTTCCTTGTTTCCTGTGAGAACTTGGGTTGGGCCAGGAACTGATGTGGGCCAGTAAAGCCAAGTTACATTCATGTATCATGTAGAGATATTATCTAAATAAACTTGTCTGGAAGAAGAGTCAAGAATCAGAAACGCACAAAACATATTCTGTTGAGGACGAATAGCTTGCTCTTGTTGCCATTCGGCTGAAAATTATAGCACATTTTTATTGTTTTGTTGTTGATTGCTGTTGTTTACTTTCTCAGGGAGATCACCAGCTGGGTGGAAGATCTCTGATTACAAGACTTGCAGATTCACTTGTCTTTATTCATTGAACTCAATTCCATAATCATCTGTGGCTTCACAGAAAATTACATATTTCCAAATGTATAACAACATTATATGGTATGGTAATCATTATCATATCCCTTTCTGATTAGGGTTAAAAAATGAACAAATAGTTTCATTATCGATTAATCTGCCAAGTATATTCTCAATTAATCTTCATGGAAAATGGTGCAAACTGTCCATCACAACATCATGATGTCTTGAAATTGATTACTTTAGTCAACCAATAATCCTAAACCAAACACACAATGACAAAGTAATGCACCAAATTTTAAAATGTGAGAAGCTGAAATCAGAATACGTTTGGCATTTCTGCTTGGAAAATGACATGAAAGAATAATTAGTCATCAAAATAGTTGCCGAATTGTTTTTTTAGTCAACTGACTAATTAATTAATCAACTACTATCATTTTAACTATTGTTAAAGTACCTGTGGGGCTATAGCCTACTGACAAACAAAGCAGACCAAGGCAGACATAACTGTGTCAACTGTGGCCCTAAAATCTGTCATTAAACTAGCTGTCAGGGGCTTCTCTTGCTACCAGCAGGTTAACTCCACACTAGTAGAAAATTAGCCGAAACTTAAGTCAAATGTTTCCCAAACTTGTGTTATGCAACTAAAACAAAACATATGGGAGTGCTATTCGTTTGCAACCTGAAGAAAACAACAGCTTTGTAAGTTGCAGTAAACAAACATATGTTAGAGGTATCAACACACTGAACCTACCCAGCTACTTTCTAGTAAATGCTCAGTTGGTCACTACACGGTAACATCACACTGTTGTCATATTACTGTTATGTCTCCACGGAAGAAAATCCTCAATGAGTTTGAAGTGTATGTGAAAATGCTAAGTGGACTAGCTGCTGTCAACTGGGGATCAAATCCCTTTAAATGGCTTCGGTGTTGACCCTGTTGACCTAACACTTAGATTAAGTTTCAGTGTTATGCTAAAGGAACAACCTAGGTTTACTTGAACTGTAATAAAACAAGCAGCTGTATCTTCAGACGATAGCATTAGTCCATAATATTTTTTTTAAAGATCTTGTTTTCAGGGACCAAACTAGCGTTAACTAGCTCACTTAGCTACTGTACAAGTTAGCTATTAAACAACTTTACTCGGCTTAACCAAAACACCCTTCGGTCGATACTGACTGTCAGCAACAACTACCGCTGTGCTTGCAACTGTATACTAGAGAAGACACTTCTACATAACGTTACATATGAAAAGTATTTAGGTTTTATTCGTGAGACGAGAGTTTAACAAGCTAGCGCTAACTCCTCTTCTACTGTAACGTTACTGTTTGTGTAGCGCCACCAGGAAATAGCCATAGCCCGGTCGACAAGCCATCTGCTCTAGATAACTATTAATGTATCATTCCCCTGTTACACTTTTAATAAAATACGCTAAATTAGGGATGTAGGCGAAATACATTACCAGCTCATTTTGAGTGAACTTTTATTCCGGTTTCATTGGGTGTTTTTGTTATCTTCCGAGGACCTCATTCCTCTCCACCAGTCAACAGTCGAGCCTTAAACAGGAAGTCCGGAGCTAAGCCGCTCGTGTTTCCTCTAAGGAAGTTATCTGACAGAAAGTAGGGAAAAGCGACAACAATAATAATTTGGTCTGAGGTTATGATGTGTTATATCTGACGGCTAATGCTCACCTTTTTTTTTATATATATATATATATATAAAATGAGTGTATAATACAGTAAATGAAATGCGCGTGAATGCGTGTATTGCCCCTTTACGCAGTGCGTGTGCGCGCGTGCACGTGGAGACCCAAGTAAACTGAAGGCAAGTGATATTTTTCTTTATTCAAGTACTTACATAGAAATAACAAAACAATTGCATTACAACAAACTGAAGTGCCAGGTAAACAGGGGAGCACATCTCCCCATCACAAGGATATAGTAAAATTCATTTCAATATTCAGCTCATCATAAAAGGACCTTATTATAAGGTAATAAAAACATGAAATAGGCTAAAGACATCCACAACATTTTAAACAAGACCCCTTGTTTTCTTAAAAAAAAAAAAAAAAGCCAACATAACAGTTATCCCAGTGTGTGTTTTCAATTGTCTGTCTTGAATTGTTGTTGGGTTTATCCCATTTCACCCAATGTGACTTTTATTTTCATGCATAATAAAGAAATGAGCACCACCCACAGCATCGAGGGTAGCACTTTGGAACATTTCCGTGCACATGCAAACATGAGGATATACTGCAATGAAAAGGAAACACAACACAACAGAAAACGGTGAGTATCGACTCCATCTGAACACTATAGTGTCACTGTTGAAGACCACAAAATCCCTGAAGCCACCCTGTAGTCCATAAGATGACATGAGTAGCCGATAATATCTACACATTAATGAAACCTCTTCAAACGTGAGTATTTTTTTTTTAAATCCTGTAATTATTAATTGTCATGAATGAGCCCAAACCTATTGCCCTGCCCAAGGCCAACTTCACGGAGACTAAATCAGTTAAACACAAAAATTAGCACAAGGCTGCCTTCAACTGCAAGCGGACTGAGGTCACATTTATGATTTGTTGCTCCTGTGGAGTTCTCATCACATATTGTTTTTGATCAGCCAACCCTGCAACCCAGTTTGGCACAAAGATGGCTGCTGATGTTGGCTCACATCCAACATGGAGCGAGAACGAGGATGAGGCAAATTCCAATTTCAGAGCGTTCAGCCGCCCACTTTTGGACAATAGAACATAAAAAAACATAAAATAAATTATTCTTGGAGAAGCACTATTAAGAGGGGGTTGTTTCTGAGTTTGTTTTACAAGTCACTGACATATATCTATAACGTTCACACATTACACAGAAGGATTTTTGTTCAGAAGAACATGGTGCAGCCTGTATTGTTGTTCAACTACCAAACTATTAGAGGAATAAGATAGAGGGGATCATATAAATTTTACAAAATCTATCTGTCCATTACAAAAGTGTCACAAAACAAAAGTGACAAACACAGTGAGATGATATGACTGATGAAATATTGAGTTTGCAAAGTTGTAATTACACGGCCTCATTTAGATGTGGAAATAGTTTGGTGTAGTCTCCGCCTTACTCTGCATCATTCCTTAACACAAAGCAACATAAACACAGTTTTCTCTCAGAGGAAGCCACATTCTATATATTATAATTAAAAAACATCCATTCTCACCAGCAAAGTGTTAAATCAAGAGCACACAAGAGCATACTTTTTGGTCAAATAAATTCAAAATGAGCCTATAATCAGTGTCTAACATCAAATTATTCTAGGTAAACAATAAAGATAAACATTTTGTATTTCCTATCACCTCATGTATTATATATATATTCTTTTGTGCTGACTCCATGAGGCTGTCTGCTACATGATGTTTACATTGGAGGCCATTACTCCTTGCAAGATTTAACCTGGCAAATGTCACTCTAATGTTTGAATCTTAGTTGTTGTTGAGCTAATTATCTGGGATCAGAAATAAGAAAAGCTGTGTTATCTAGTGTGTAAAAAGTTCAAATTGTAAAGTTTGTTAAGTTGTGATTTTCATTTGAGCATTCAGCATTTTATTGAGATAAGCCCAGAACATTTTCATTTGTCAATGACCATCCATGCACTAAAATAACATATTTTTTATAATACAAAACTTCAGATTTACAGTTAGATACAGTTAGGGTGTGTAACATTTTAAACTATCTGAAAAAGTGCAAGGAGGTCTGTTCATTTAACCATGTAGATGAGTTGAGAAAAGGCTCTCTGAGGCCAAATTAATTGGAAAATAAGTGGACACTTGCCAGGAAGCTCAGCAGTGAAAACTGGTTGTTACAGGAAAGGAAAAGCATGGCCTTGGAAGCTCATTTCTGCATGCACTGTGTTCTCTGTGGCACTACTTTTCTGAACCTTTCTTTTGGCCTTTGCATTTGTCAGTCGATATTCTCTTTAAATCTGATTGCATGTCTACTGAACAGGACTATACTTTTTTACAGCAACATTTATAGAAAATTCTCTGCCTCGCATAGAGCATACACTCCTTAATAGTCAGAGAGCACAACCAATAAACAGAAATATTGTCAGTCAGTGTAGATGGAGAAAATGTTTCTTTTAAAAGAAGGAGAAGTTTATCTGGTATTTGAGTAATAAACTTAAACAATAAAATCTTAACACTCCTCAAATAATACATTAACAGTAATGGAATAAATGTGAATGATTTGTTTAGTAAAACCAGTGCCAATATTTTTGACATATGGGACTTATACTACCCTTGACAGAAGTAAATACCTCCTGATTTTTCAAAATTCACCATTTTCCATTGTTTTTTGACCAAAAGTGTAATAAATTAATTGTAATAGATGGAAATGCCTTTTTTGTATCTCAGTTACAACTTTTCTGCTTGTGCTCCACAGAGCCATGATGTCGTCTTGGAGAAAAAGAAAGCCCTTCCTGCTTTATAGAGATAAGTTTAAAACAAAACATTCCTGAGAAAAAAGCAATTATGCTGGCATCAGTGAGTTTGATGTGGTCACTGCTGTGCATTTGTCAACGCTGTTATAATGCACGTTTAAGACCCAATAGAAGCTAATGGAAGAGATTAGCCTCCGCAGAATGTTTCATTGAATGACACAAGAGGTATTTCCTTCTATCAGGACAAAAATCAATAAGGAACCACACATAATAAATATTGACATTGCCCGGTAACGTGTTTTGTTTAAGAAAGGATCCAATCATTTAGTCTCCGAGAACAACCAGTGTTTTCTATACGATGGGGGAAGATGTGTTAATTGAAATAACTGATTCTGACTATAATGGAGATACACAAAATGTAAAAAATCTTGTTGTTTATTCAGAGAACACATTAGTGCTTTCTTAAACCAGTTATCACTTTAAAGCGTACAGATGGTGCAAATGCTATTATTCTTTTTTTCTTTTATGGAAGATAATACACCATATTTGGCACTATTGTAGTGCTCCAAAAAATTTTGCAATGACCTATGACAACAAAATATTCTGTATTATAACTACATTACTAAAAGCTTTAAGACACATTCCGCACAAGCATTCAGTCAATTGAAAGTTCTTGTTTATGCAGACATTTGTATTTACATAGTGTGCATGAAGGCATGCACATATATGCACAATTTAATACTGAGTTATGGTGCATTTGACATTTGAGTACAAAAGTGAAACTTCTACTGTAGCTACCTGCATACATTTTTGTATACTGTACAAAAACAACAACTCTTTAGTTTACAACTCAGACTCAGTCTCGCTGTATTAGAAAAGATGTAAACATGGATTTGGACATTTTAATTTTTCTTTTTACCATTTGCTGCTCATCTTTTGGTGATATAAACCAAGTAGTAGTTTAGACTTTTTACACTGTGAAACCTTATTCATCTTTGCTTTCATATACTGCTGGTTTGCAACCCAGTGTCATTTATTTAAGTAGTTCAGTCTGTCTAACTGTGCTCATAGTTAATTTGATTTACGGGTCGGTGGCATATGTCATGAATATATTGCATATAATTGCAGAACTCAAGAAAACTGAAAAAATGAACAGTATTGGTGAGCTTTTCGAAAAAAGCAACAGAAATTATATCTGGTAACACCACATAAAGCCACCATATAAAAAGGCAACAAAAATACACAGTGTCTCTCAGTGACTACAAATAAATAAGTATTGGCAAAGGCATTGATTGCTGCAGGCATGTTTGTTTTATAAGTACAGGTTACAAGACAGGACATCGGTTTGGTTTGTGTAACCCAGTTCAGTCATTATCTAGATTTAACCTAGATTGTGCAGATAAATCTAAATCAGAGATACGTTGTTTGAATGTGATCTGTCCTTCAACTCAACATGTTTGCTGAACTGATGTCACTTTTATGTTTGGCAAATGTCAGGCACAATAATCAGAACAAGGTTGGCTGTATCACCACAATACATTTGGCACATTCTTTTGAGAAAACAACATTCAAATAGAAAATAAAAACACGACACCTCAACAAAATAAAACAACAAAAAGACAGTCAAGTGCCACTAATAAGGTATCCATGACAGTACACAAATATAACCAATTGCACTTTTAAACAGCCTAATAAAATTAATGCATACCTCCCAGACAACTCACCCTTTAACCCTTTAACTAAGCTCCATTGTAATTTTGTCTGTTTTGACCCTTATGATGGATTCTGGCTTCCTTCCAAATTAGATAAATTTACAAAAATGTATCCACACTAAAACCTATAGATACACAGTGGCCTTTTAGACAGAATGTGCCAAGGTGCCCTTCTTTGTGTTGGCACTGTGTTACAGTAGCTGAGGCTCTGAGTTACTTGAAGGAGAAGGGCGTAGCAGCCTTTCCCCTCTTACTTAAACTAAAGGCATCCATCTCAAAATAGAAGGAACTGAAAAGAGCAGTGGGGTGTAAAAGAGAGGAAAAGAGTCACCTATTTATCTCATAGTGGACGTGATCCCTTCTTCCTAAGTCTCTTTATGGGGCATGGTGAGGGTCCAGTCCATGTGCACGTAGTGACGGTCATGAAGTCCCCACCGTTGGCCCCCCACAGGAGCTGGGTGGTGAGCTGTGGCTCCCAGCTGCCCCACTGTTCTTGTCAGCTGGCTTCTTGTCCTTCTGTTTCAGGTGAACCTTTGCGTGTCTCTTTCGCTCGTCACTTCTGGCAAACTTGCGTCCACAGAACTCACAGGAGAAGGGTTTCTCGCCCGTGTGTGTGCGGATGTGTGTGGTCAGGTGGTCACTCCGGCTGAAGGAGCGCATGCATATTCGGCACTGGAAAGGTTTGTGACCTGTGTGGATGCGAAGATGACGTGTGAGCTCGTCTGAGCGTGAGAAGCGTCTGTCACAGTTCTCTGCCGGACAGGCATGCGGCCGTTCGTGGACGGGGGTTTTGCTGGGACGGTTGGGGTACTTCCTTGGTCGGATGGGTTTGAGGGTGAGAGTCTGGGGCGGTGGGTGGTGCTGAGGAGGGTGCTGCTGCCCACCGATGAAACCTGGGTGAATCTGCTGCTTATCTTTGAACGCTCTGATGGTCTCCAGGGGTGTGATGGGTGGAGGGTTGACCCGGATGGGGTCCATGGTCTGGAAGGGCTTGTGCTCCATCACACCAACCTCCCCCTGATGATGGAAAAGGTTGTAGTCAGGGATCATGGAGAAAAGGCTGCCATCCATGGAGGCTTTGGATGTGGAGTGATAGTCATTGCCAGGGTAGGCTAGACCCGTGCTGGTGGCAGGGCTGTGGTGGAAGGAAACCTGGTCCTGGTACAGGTCGCTGCAGGTGGAGTACGCAGGCAGTGGCGGACCATATACCTGCTCCAAATCTGACGTCTGTCCGCCCATGCTGGCTGCGGAGGATGATGTCTGTGTCGTTACCGTGCCGGGCGATGGTGAAACGCCCAGGATCCCTGCACTGACAAGACTGATGATATTGTTATCAGAGCACCAGCCAGAGCCACCAATGCCACCTGACGGAGGAGTGTCAAAGGCAAACTTCCCCAGATAAGTGACAGTCTGCCCGCTGCGGTTGGACTGGAAGCTGGAGCCATACTGAATCTCTGCGGTTGCTTTCTCGCTTCCCATGCCCAGATCCATGATATTATCTAGATAAAAAGCAAATAAAAAACAGATATCATGAACAAATCATCCACATGGTTGCCTCAAACATGAATATTAAATGCAATCAGTTGGGAAGAAAATCTTTTAAAAGTGATAATGTGGCACAAGTTCTGAAAAAAAGTAAAGGAAATTCACTTTGTCAAGCTATATCAACTTGAAGTGACAGTCCTTGGTTTGTCCAAAATTCAGCTTTTCTGCATGTCTCTGTAATAGTGTGCCAACAAGAGATCAAAAATAAAAGAAGTCCAATACAGTTCATGAAGAAATGTGAGCACTGTCAGACCTTTAAGTTAAGTGAGTGACTGCTGCATGTGAGACAGTGGTGTCTCTCTCTCTCTCAGATCCCACAAGCTCTCATAAATCAAGACCTAAACACCCCCTTTGATCCAGTCATTGTGTCCCTCAGGAGGACAGCCAAACTGAATGGCAAGATCTGATTTCTTTACAGCAGGGAGGATTATAAGGCAGACGCCACATCTATCACGCTCAAGGATTCAAAACACATTTGCAGCAAAGAACATCTGCACATAATGGGGGTAAAATTTTAAGTGTTTCCTATCCAATGTCTGCATTAGTGAGCTTAACATTTATTTCGCAAAATTTACTTGATATTTTAATTGTCGAGAATCATACGCTTCACACTGAATACTCACACACACGCACACACATATTTAACTTATTCCAAAGACCCCATAAAAAAACATCAAATGCAGATGTGCTTAATGGGGATACATTTATGTCCTGATCATGCTCTGAAGGCTTAATGTGAGACATTCGAAAAGAATTCTTTCTGAAACGGAAGTTAAAATAGACGTCTCTTTTCATTTTCAGGAGATCATACACAGGGGTGCTTATGTACTCACTCCCAGTAATTACAGCCTGCTGGAATTTGGCTAAAGGCAAATCATAATGAAACACACAAAAGCAAAATTACATATATTTCACAATACCATTAAACACACAAGGTACATTGGAGCAATGAGACTTGTGGTGTAATTTTATTATTATTATTTTGATAAGGCATTTAGAGAAGAAGCCTGAGTTGATAGTATTCATTTTACTCTAAGTCTTTAGTCTTTTGGGGTGAGCAGTGGGGCATTTAAAGAGAATGAGGGGCATCAAATAAAGTCATCACTCTTTTCTTGTGGGGCAATATTGAAGAGCACAGCACACACCTGCTTCACCTGTAAAATGGCAGCAGGATACTTTCAAATTGTATTATTTTTATTTGCCCAAATTAAATATATACACATTTTAGAGCTTATAATGTGAATTTTACCAAGATCAGACCCAACTGAAACATCTGCAGTCTGCAGCATCTTTTTCTCCTCTTCCAGTTTTAATCAGTTTGTTTAAATATCTCCTGTCAGAGGTCGCACAAAATACATTTTATTGCCGTGTTTATAGAAAAATATAATATGTCACATGCATGACATGAAATTGACGTCCCTTTTATTTAATTCCCTTATTTAAAAAATTACACAGACTATTTTTAAGACCTGGCGCTGTGATAATTAATTAACGCACACTTCTCAGGTATATAAGAGGGTCAGATTTCGGGTTAAATTCAAACTGAGGTGTTGTTTTAATTTGTGAACAAAAAGACTTGAACATAAAAAATGATTCATGAACAAAGTTCGACATGGCAAATGTAAATTGTGGCCACTGTATTACATGCCACACAAGAAAACTAAAGATTTAGTGTATTTCGTGCAGCATTGACCCATCACCTCAGGGTGAACCTGTACAATTAGTGATTGATTTAATGCCAACACTGAGCCGAACCAACAAGTCATCTTTATGTAGGCGTTTGAATTAATCAGAAATATACATTAATCCGGACTAAGCAATAAATCAATCCATATATTCGGCCTCGCAATATGAGATAGTGAATATAAGATGGTTCAGGGGCCTGGCGTCTAAATATGTTTCAAATGGGGAAAAGCAGCCACACACGCCTACTAAAATCCAATCTGTGACATGGTAATAGAGTTGTGAATGAAAGTCATTGTCTAAAGTAGTTGACCCATCTTTGCGGATGGATATTATATTAATAAATCAGTGGCATTCGTAGTTTGACTACATTAATTTGACACATTTTGTCATAAGCACAGATTTCAGTTTCAATCAGCCGGTTGCGTTTTTAGAGGACTTTGCGTAAAACAGCCTTTTTTTTCCACAGCCGTTCATAACACATTTCCTCAAACACGCCTCGGCTTCGGAGAATTAAAACCACTATAAATACGGTGGCTTTGCGTCAATATAATATCATAGCTGATTATTACTAAAAAACTTTTGATATGAGTCCAGTTGCCCTTTTTTTTCCACGTTGCGCTTGAAATCCTGACATTTCTGCTACGGACAAGGCAGAAAAAGAATAAAAAATATGACACGGCCGATCTGAAAGTCAGTCATTTTAAAGGTGTATCTAAATCACATTGGGCAACGTTACACCTGACCCCGAAAAAGTATTCAGTACGGGAATCTGCCTTTGTGCGCAACAGCCAGAGCGCAAACAGGTGCTCCAAAGCCCCAAGACAACTGTTGCCTTTTCGCGCACATCGCAGTTTGAGCCACTTTAATCAAAACACACACGTGAAAAAGTATATTAAAATCTTACCTGTGTTCATCTGTGAATAGTGGTTAATAGATTCCGTATTGGTGAAAATATTCATAGACGTCGGGATGTCCTCTTCTGGGTAGAGACTGTCAGGGATCGTGTTTATTAAACTGCTCATGGTAAGAGGGAGCTTCTCCGCTAGTTTCCCTGTCATAGCAGTTATATTCAGTCCGACATTTATAAAAGGACAACGCGCAGGTATCCAAGTAGTTACACACACAAAAAACAAAAAACAAAAAACAAAAAAACAGCGGGTGTTCTCAAAGTGGAAAACACAGGTGTGGATCAGGCGTGAAAAAAAAGGAGAGGAGCAGGGATGGATCCTGTTGCTGTAGCTATCCAAGTATCCCGCGGAGGACGAGCAGCGCTGGTTATCTCCTCCTGTGTGATCACAGGCTATTGTTGTTATTAATCTGATCACTGTGGAAGCTGATGGGCTGCTTGTGGGGGAATTTGAAGTCTGTGAATCAGTGGAGGAGGTGGTGGTGTTGGTTGCACAAGAGCGGCTCTACTTGCTCTATTGAGGCTGGATAGGGGACTCCAGTTTGCCTGTATTAAATAGGGGGATGGAACATTTGCGTGACGTAGATGACCATATATGGACAGAGCACCCAGCGCCAGGCTCTCCGCGCGTCAGTCGGTGGAAACTAGAGTGGAGGCAAAAGGCTCCGACAGATAGATAGATACAAAGTTACCAAAAAAAAAAAAAAAAAAAAAAACCCTACATGTCAACCTCCAGCGGCGTCTCCTTCTTCGGGATAAGCCCGCGGTTCTCCTCTTTCCTTGTGGAAAACACGACAGCGTGTTATCTTCTATCTTTTGTCAGACATTATGATATCCATCCCTGGACTATCAGGCACACTGGGAGCTATTTAAGCAACTGTGTGAGAGAAAGAGAGTGTGTTGTGGCTATAGGGGCTGACTACTTTATGTAATAACAAAGGTATACGTGCTGTTTTTTTAATATTCCACATATGCTGATCAAATTCTGGAGACTTTTATTTGTTGATTTTACTTTCAAACTACTTTTTTTTGTCCAAATGAGCTGATAGAAGATGACTTTGCATGGTGTAAGTGCTTTGGTGTGCATGCATACACGTCCTGTATTGCAGAAAACGAGTTCAAACCCCGTTTTCTTTTTGTGCAGTAACACTTACAAAGACAGTAATTGACGGAGTTAATCGCTTGTAAATATTGCATGCGCTTTGTAAATCCAAAGGCTTGCTTTGACTTGGAGCCCAAGTGACCGCTTAAGTGGAAACTCCAAATAAGGCAGTGTCCGGCCCCGCCCCTTCGTGTCTGTATTTGGACATGTGAGTTCCGGGTGAAGTAGTAGTGGAAAAGTGATCGGAAGTCAAAGACGTTCAAAGAGATGACAGTGGACAAAGCGTCATGGCTCGATTTTCACCAAGTTTGCCAAGTTGTGAAAAAAAATCTACACTTATAATGCTTCTGAAATATCCCCTTATGATTCGGTGTGTTACCAAAAAAAGCCAAGAGTTACTAAAAGCCTGTGGGTCATTCACTGGTCTCACATGTATCACTATCACATCATAGTTATCAGCTTTTTTTATACTCAGGAATAATAGATTAGTCAAGATTGGCTTAGTTTTGGTATGAACTTGATATATTTTCTGCTGTAGATGCAATAATATAAAACACACAGGCCTTTGCAAAATTCACAGAAAATATTGAATGAAATGTCAGTGCCTGAATATTCAGACCTGAGAAATTAATAGTACCTCAATGAACCAGAAGTGTAAACAGAGTGTGTGGGAGAATGAGTCTGAATCATGCTCTGTGTTTAGGGGGCTTACACAAACAGAGCAGCCAGTGATCTTGTGTGTTTCATTACCACAGGCGTCCTCCGTGTGTATGTGTGTGTGTGTGTGTGTGTGTGTATGTGTGTGTGTGTTTTATGAGCGGCAATGATACCACCGGGCACAGCAGAGTCCTCTCACGGTGTCTTGTACCCTCAATCCACAAAATAAACAACAATGATCCTGATAAACACTGTTCAAAATTCGACACTCTTGTGTCCGACCAGAGATGTATTTTTAATGTTGACTTCATCATCTGCCTCATTCTGACTCACTCCCTAAACTTGCTGTCTGTATTAGTTTTGCACATCTTTTATCCAGGTCAAAAGGCACCACAAGTTGAAATGGTAATCTGTCTTGAGGAGCACACAGAGTTGAAGCTAAAAGTTACACAATGTCTATCTGCATATGTACAGATATTATCAGGCCTTATTTAAAGACTAGTGATTTTGTATTATTTTTATATTTTTGTCCCCATTTAATCTTCTGATACACGGACTGTCAAATCTGGTTGAAATTTAGTTCTACATATGTTAAGAGGCTGTTAATGTTACATGTTACACATCTTTTGTAACATAATTTGGATAGGTCACAACAATTGCTGGGCAGCTTATTAAGAGTTTGATGTCTATCAAGCAAACCCATTTAGAAATAAATGAATAAATGTTAAAAAAGTTAAATGGTTAAACACATTCTGAACAACAACAAAAACAATCTCTGGAGAGTGAATGTGTGAACATATGAATTAAGCCCTTAATTGTATACCATTACATAATTAAACAAACCCAGGAATGTATTACATATAGTCAGTTTGGACTAAATAACAGGAAAGCATGGCAGTATAATGTAATACAGAACAATGCTATGATGTATGGGCTCATAAATTACATAGCTTAAACATACAGGCTATTATAAGCTTATAATTTCTGCTAAGGTAGAACTTATTGCTGGGTTATTGTATCCGAATGTGTTGTATATTTTGTCCACCCCATGAAGTTGCACAGATTGATCGATGCAGTAGGAGAAATCCACGGAAAAAGGGTGCCTTAACTGTCGTGTTTATGGATGCAAAGCGTTGAGAGAATTCCCTCAGGTGAGATGGAGGACTTACTGTACGGTGTCTCTCCTCTGGGCGTTTTTGTGGCTCTGTGGTTGGAAAGTTGGCCAGCCCAGCTGGAACACCTACCTGTTGCAGGCTTATTTCCTCGACTGTGAGCTGGGTCACATGGGGCTGGCCTGCAGTGTTTGACTACGGGTTGCGGCGTTACATCTCTTTGACTGCAGAGTCCGGGCTCCTTTGCATACAGGGATTCCATGGAAGACACAGCAGGCTCATTTTAAAGCACAGTGGAAAACTAACCAGGCACTTTGGATATATAGTCAAATTAGTTTTGTTTTTCCAAGCTTCACGGGGGAAGGCTAAAATTGTTGTTCCTTGCAGTTATTCGAAGAGCTGGAAAAGATAAATTGTTGCCAATTATAGCAACAGTAACCTTACATCCTTTCATGAATTTCATTATACAAACCTGTGTTGTAAATGACAATTAAATAACCTTGTATCCTTATTTTACATTACATTTTAAAGCAAGTGCCTTTATTGTAATTATATAATCATAGCGTATAATGAGAAATATTTTCTAATTAGGTTGACCAATCTCCCTATAATGATGTTCTAATAAGCAAATGATCACAAAAAGACCTCATATCTCAAGCACTAACAGCCTTTTATTTAAGCTTACCAGTTATGCAGTGGTATAAGTACAAGTAACACCCATAAAGGTTTATTTTGATTCCCATTAGGTCCTGTATTTTACATAATCATGAAAATTAGCCACTGCTATCTTCTGTATATTTGCAGTTTCATTTTTCCCAGTTAATAGGAGAGATAAAAACATGTTTTGAAGACACAAGGCCAACACAGACACCTTAGCAAAAATGCACCTTGTTGGTGAATGTAGACACATGTTTAATAGAGCCTAGAAACAGAGATATTCATGTGAATTTTCTTCAGAGGCAGTATTTAAATCTCCAGGTGGACTAAACTGCAACCAAATCTCTGCAGTCAGATTTGCAGAACAATACCAGTCTGTTGGGGGTCAAACACACAGAAAATAAATGCTGCAAAGTGGTCAGCAGACCATACTGTTGACATGCATTGAACAGATGCCACACTCAAATTCATTTTGCCACTGCTCACAACAAGTGATGAACCGCAGAAATTCTCCAGTGAAATAAATCTCCTGCACTTCTTCAGCAGCACATAGAAAAGAAGAATGGAGACTCAAATCACCATGCATATTAGATCACTTAGTGCCGGTTAGGCAATTGAATTGATTATACAAATTCCTTTTAATTAATGTAAGTTTGAATAAATTAAGAAAATATTAAATGCCTTTCCCATATCATCAGGGGATGTGAGAAGTTATTTTTTTTCAGAGAAGGCAATATACTGTGCACTGTTGAACTACAGCTGTCAAGTTTTTCTTAATCATAATATTTCAACTCTCCTGACATATGGAGTAAAAATAAACACATTCAAGGAAGCTGAGTGGCAAAACCCAGCTGTTTTGGCAGGATATCTCCAAGATATAAAGGAGAAAAAAAATGCACAGTGTATTTGGAAGTACAAATCTTGGCATTTCAATGGTGCACTGATGGATTCAAGTAGGTGGTTTTTTGGAAGAATACTCTCCCACTTGGCATGCTTTACAATGAGTGTGGAATTATACTCTACTTGCCAATTGTTAAAAATGTGATTTCATAAGTCAAATAAGATGAGTAAATCAAGGTCGAGAGCGATATTCCAACCAACGAATACTTAACATTTGTTCAAAAGCAACGGACCGTCTGACTTACTGTGTGCTCAAGTGCATTGTTTTGGTTGATTTGTTTGTGGACGCGGCTGCTTTGACTGCTAAGTCGGGGAAGCAAACAAAGCAGATGCAGGACAATTTGATCAATGATCTCCCAGAGTTCATCGAGAGGGCACATAGGGGTTTACCAAGGCTGGCTTAACCACCAAAGGAACAAAAACCTCCATTACCTACTCCTGCCTAGCCCACTGATGAGACACCAAATTAGGGTCAATGAAACCACCAACTAAAGATTGATCATCAGAACATCAAAGTCCCTCATGTAAATCCAGCCTTTTTCAGACATCTGGGGTATTGATACAAACCCCTCCCAGAGGAGAGTTGCTGGTTAGAAACCAATATTCCTCATGGGGGGTACTCTGACCCACCCTCTACAAAGACCCGTGAAGTCTGAAAAGTATCTCCCCGTGAAAGGGTTGAAAAGTTTATCCACACCATCCTCTACAGACCCGCCAGGTGAGCCTCCTATGCAACTGTCCAAAGTTCAAAACGGGTTCATTGTCCCAAAGTTACATTCAAGGACACTTCAACATGTGTTAGAGCAGCTTTCACTTCAAAAAAATCAATCAGGGATCTGAAAGCATCTCAATGTTTCCAGCTGAGGTGACAGTGGTCAATGGAAATATGATAAACAATTACACAAACAGTAAGTTCCCTTCACCCAATACACCACAGGCCCTGCAGCCCCTCCCCCTGCCACTCTGTAGAGTATTTTGGTTCAAGTTCCACTGCGGCATCCGGCTGTGTTGCGGTCTCGGTTTCACCTCCCACTTCCTTTTTTTGGCCCTGACGTGTTTCCGCCCCTGAATTAGAATCAACTCTTTCCACACTGAGTTGTGATATCAGGCCGTCTTCCTTCTCTTACCAACAGCGTTCGGAAACTAATAAGAAATCCCCAGTGAGGTCAAAATCTATCTCCCAAATCCTCGGCTCCAGACCACGTGACAGAGATACAGGGCAACATCAAAACCTAGCAGCTTCCGTAACACAAAGAGGAAATCTCTCTCTAACCTAGCGATAAGATAGAAGCAAAGAGGGACGACCTGTTGCAAGCTTTGAAGAATTGATGCAGTTTATTTACGGAAAGTGGGGAAACATCTTATGTTCAATCATTGTACTGACAGATAATACTGACATATAAAAGATATTTCAAGCAGCTGAGCATCCATTAGTCTTTGTAGTTTTGGGTGAGAAACTGCACAGTTGCCACGGGCTCTCCCAGATCAAACCTTGAGACGAAGGCCCGGAGATCCCATTTACCTATTACGGTAAGACACATAAAGACAGAAATGTATTAGTATTTACAGATAATTGGAGGTGCAATGAACTTAAAATCATGGTTTGTTTTCAGTCTGATACAACACTGTTTTGCAGATAGATTAAAAATAACTTAAAGGAGTTAAACCTCACAAGTTTATAAGACATGTGTTTATCCTAACAATATCCTACATAAATTCAGCATAGTCTGAGTGCAATCTCTGGTGCATTACAAGAGTATTTCTCATGACCGCTCAGTCCATGTTTAAGGGATCTGAGGCCTAACTGAGCAGCACATGGCTCTGGGATGTGAGTCACTGAGAACAGCACTGCTGAAAATAAAACATGTTGCTGTAATGATGGAGGTGGGAACGCAAGGACGTATTGGCAAGAAGATATGATTCAATCGCCTGGACTGTTTTTTTCTTCCCTCCCCTTTTAAACAAACACCAGACGGCCATCCGGCTGGTATGACAATATCACTTCTTAGAATTTGACAACCGCTGATTCCCTGCAGCTTCCCCTCCCTTTACAAAAAAAAAAGACAAATTCACAATTATCATTCCAAGGCAACAAAATCCTGCATGCTTTAAACTTGCAAACTTCAACAGATTCTAGAGAGACTGAGTGTATGTTTGGGTGTACATAAGACAATACCGTGCTCCGTAATCCAGGGAATCGCTGACATTCTGGTATTTCCGTATGTGGAGTAATTACATTAACAGATGCTCAAGAATAGGCTAGGAAAGTTAATCTTTTGAAAAGAAAGCCAACTATTGAAATGGTCCAAATCTGTAGAGAGAATGGTCTTATAGTTAGGGTTCGAGTCTGACTCTGCCTGGATAGAAACATTACAGCATTTCACCTCTGGCTGCAGCTGCTTTACAGGCCTTTGCTGTGGCTGTTTTCGCCATCAGAGAGCCACATTTTGTATCCTCCGTCATTGTGGAGGAGATCAGGGAGAAGAAATACACTCTGCCGCTGCCACGCACTTCAAGTGCACTCACCTTCCATCAATGCAGAAACAAATCACAAGGATTCATTTACATTTCAGACAAACTGTCTCATTCAAGTCTGTGATTTTTCAGGCTTTTAGAGAATATATTACTCTATTTAACTCTTATCAAATCATGAAGTAGAGCAATTATTTGCACAAGTTTTAAATATAAAATGACAGTTTTGCCAAATTATTACTCGACTATTTTTGGGTTCCTGCACACTTCCAAATCCTCTGTACATGTTTAAGTTATGAGACTGACACCTCTGTGTGTCCAGGGTTTGCCATGAGGTAAGGTCAGGTTCTGAGCTCAGCTGGGGAAGATGATACATAATAACGGGGAGATGAGCAGATGAGTACCTGAATCTTGCCAGGTCCTCTCTGTGAATGAGGATTGCCTGCAGAAAGGGCTCCGATAATCAAGTGAGGGCAATGGAGTCAAGTGACCTGTCTGTATGGTAGGGCATGGCCCCAGTGGCCCCTCTGGCCTGTGCTTCAGTGGGAGATAATGCACCGCCTCTGCAGATCCCCAAACTTCACTGCATGTTCCAGAACAAGGTCCCTCACACCTTATAGATAGTATTATAAAGAAAGGGTTGAGGAAACTGGGGGACAACAAACTTTACACTCAGTATGGGGATAAAGTTCACGAATCATGTGGCAGATTTTACTCTGATGTCAGTCATCCATTAGCAAGTCAAACTTTCGCTTTCCTTGTTCATAGAGAGAACCCTTCTCACACTAGTATTAGGCAACATTTTCTCTAACGGAGAATGTCACACTTAAGATCATTTTATTGTAGACTAACGATCAGACGGAGAGTCAAAACCAGGCGCTGCTTGTAAGGCTTTACACACATAATCCTGTCTAAAGCTGTGCAATCATTGGGCGCAATCCAAAATAAGGCGAATTCACAATATCTGGTGCTATCACGCTGGCTGGTACCCTGCAAATGCCTAGACTTACAAGTGACCTTAAAATAGGCTGGTGTCTGTTTGTAGTGCAGAGACGTGTTTCCACCTCTCCCATCTGCCTGCTCATGGAAAGGACAGATAGTGTGGGACCTGAGGGCGATGTTAAAGTCTTCCTGCCTCCCCTTTTGTTTCCACCTTGCTTCTCCGTCTGGGTATGGCAGGAAGATCAGGACTGCTGTGAGGTGACACAGAACTGCTACATTTAGTGGTGTGGGCGGTGTCCCTGTTAAACCTCTTATAGTCTCTCAAAAATACTCAAAACCAAGTGATCCTGTTCATCGCAGTAGAGTGAGAGAAGCAATATCAGGGTAAGAGCTTTACTGAGCTTTATCATAACAACATTCATAGTCATAATGATGCAGTCCTAGAATCATGAAGGGGAATTTCTTTGTGGACGTTAGAGGTCAGGGGTCAACCCAAGAACCTCTGGAGCAGAGACGTTTCTCACTCAGAGATACTACAGCGGGGAAGATGACCTGTGTTGAGGATCGGTGTCACACTGTTTGGCTGCCGATCTCAGCTCACAGCCTGCTGTCAATATAGCAGCGTACATTATTACCAAATGCTGTCGCCTTGCCGCCAGGCTTCATGTTCAGTCCCAAGGGACATGTCACATGTTGGACTGTATTCCGGGTTAGTATTCGTCACCTGTCACATTGCAGGAAAAATATTTTGTGTTTTGTCCTTCAGTTCCTATTTTTCATGATAAATGACACAAAAAAATGTATTATCAGAATAGTTGCTGACAATCAACTAATTGACTAATCAACTAATCATTTCAGCTATTACTACAAGTAATGGTTATGTTCATTATCGATTAATATGTGATTGTTTTCTTTGTTTAGCAACCATTTGGTCTATACATTGTGAGACAATAGTGAAAATGCCCATCACAATTTCCCACAGTCCAAGATAACATCATCAAATTCTGTTTTATCCATCCAACAGTCAAAAACCAAAAGATATTCAGTTTACTATCACATATGACAAAGAAAATCACCAAATCTAGCTCCTCAAAGGATTTGAGAAGCTGAAATTGTTGCTTAAAAAAATGATGTGAATAATTAATCTATTATATTCATATGGAAAGAGTAATTGATTTATTGTGTCAGCTCTAATTAATTACAGCAGTGAATTCTAACAATACTATAAAGCTATTTATGGATGATGGGAGTTGAGGAAAAATCTAGAAACTTTTACCCCAAACCTGGGGTCTGTTAAAAAAAAAAAAAAAAAACACAACCAGCCAAACATGTAAAATGCCAAAGTGTTCCTTTAAGGCAGCCGACTCCTGGCTGAAACTCAGGCCTGCTGTAGCAACCAAATCCTGGCTCTCTTGACTCCACGCAGCTCTGATTAATGGTAGAGGCTGTGGGTGGGTGGTAGACATGGATCTGCCCATTACCACACTGCAACATTGCAAATGGCTTCAATTACTGTGGAGTGTGCTGAGCTGGCAGTAGGGGCTCTAGGAGGCAAGATGAGCAACGTGCACCATCCAGCAGCTAACTCCACTGTGATCCATTCATTCACACAACACGATCGTCACGTACATCCTCTCCCCTGGAATTTACCATGAAAAAACGGGGGGAAAATTGTCAAGAGCTGATCAATTTTTTTATTTTCAACTTAAATTTTCAGTCAATGCTGTTCTTCTCGTGTTCATCACAGTTTTTGTTTCGTATCAATCTACAGTATCTTCTGGGGTCCCAGTCAGGAGACAGGGGGCTGAATGTGTGAACAGTATATGTGCAAACCACTGTGTAAGCTGAAACAACACTAGATAGCCTCTCTCAAGGCCTTAGCGTTTCCCTCCCCGGCCTTGTTACACTGTTTCCCTTGACAAACTGACACTGAACAGTAGCAGGACATATTGAGAGCTTGCCAAGTGGCTAACAAGTATCACGAGGGCCTGTGTGCCCACGCCTGCCCCCCACCCTGGCACAGGGGCAGCCTCCAGTCAGGGACAGCCTTCCTGAGCCAGAGCGAAGGGGATTCCCTACGATCACGCCCCTGTGCCCGGTGCCAAGAGTGTAGCCCCCCTGTAGTTCCTTGTGTAACAAACCAGCTGTCTCCATCAGTTCACTGACCCACATTCATAACCTTAACACAGGAGGCACAGCAGACTCCCACGGTTCCTCACAACAGCCCTGCTCCACCTCTCATTGTTGCCCCCTTTACTACTCAAGTGATGGTCAGAGATGAAAAGAAAAAAGACAACAAATTTGCGATAAAATTGAGTCAATGACTGCGCTACTGGAAGTGGAAAACGATCATTAGGAGTCTCCCACCCACGACTAAATGCTCTCCCTTCGCAAATCACATCAATTAATGTCATGGGCTATGAAAAATGCTCTCTGTGTCATACCACATGGAGGGAGGACAGACGCTAATAAGTGAACATACTTAACGGAGGAGGTGGGGAGACATGGGATTCCCTCCGTTCCTCTTGTCTGTGCGGGAATACCGTGCTCATCATGGCCAAGGGGAGGCCAGTAATAATACAGCAGGTACACAATTGAATTCAGCCAAACCAATAACAACTGTGAAAATCGAATAGATTTCTATTCATAAACCATGACTAGGCTTTCGTTCTTAAATATGTCATGCAGAGTCTATTTCCATTGCCCTCTTTACAAGGGCAGTTATCCTCTCCAGAATTGACCCATCAAATGAAACATTTGATTATACAAGAGTGAATTTCTTAATTTAATTTCCCTTGAATAGAGAGAACAGTTTGCAGGAGAGAGGAAGTACACCAGCGGGAGTTAAACTCATCCAGTAGATTAAGGATGGGTGGATCCACTCAGTTCAATCGCTTCATAATGTGGGGGCAGCTACTGTATTGTAGCTGGTAGCAGAAAAATGAGTGCGCTCCAGTTTATTTTGCACAAAAAAATATATTAAAATATTCTAAACAGCAGGCTATTATTCATACTATTATTTTTCTTCAACTTAACCAGTTCTGACACAGTGAATACCCCATCAATGTGATACGAGTTCATCTCAACCTCCCAAAATGTGAGTTTGAATACATAATAAGTACATCTCTTTTGACATTTCTTTTTCCAGAGGTTTCAACATCAAACAGAACTCAGCCTAATGTGCCTGGATTGTTTGCTGACATTGCTGTCAAAACTTCAAACAGCAGAGACTGGCAGCTTCACTCATTCACGGCTGCAGCGCTTGAAGTCTCAAACCGCCCCGATCTCCCCTCAAATCACCGGCTGTGACCCGAGTAGAACAGACAGACGGGCACGCCCCCCTGTGAGGTACTCCACTGTACATCCAAGTGCAGTTGCCCACCTTCAAGAGACTTTTCTTCAGAAGTCAGAAAACCTGAAGTATAAACAAAACAATAACTCTGCTTTCTGCAACACAAACACCATTGTCTTTTCAGAGACAAACTAAGAAATGATCTGGTAATAATATCATCAGCAATCAAGATTATAAGTAAATGTAACTAGTGTTCACTGACATTGATACGGATTTTTGGTTTGGCGGGGGTTAACAAGATGTGGTCAGGCAGACTCGTGCAGGTGTGCGTGGGAGCCAACAATACTTGTCTTGACCCCGGAGGCATTAACACTGCAGCAGACTTACTCACTAACCTCATTAACATTTCCCTTGTTAGGTTCAAGCACTTGCAGATCTTTCTAAAGCAACTCCAAATGCTTCGATTAAATGCCCATAATTGTTTGTGGATTATGCATAATGACATGTGTCCACAACCTGGGCTTAGAGAGGACAGATAGTTAGAGAGATAGATAGAGTCTGGCTGGAATGTCTTGAGACATCACATGATAAATCAAATCACTAATAATAGCAGCTTCAGTAGTGTCACAGATACATTTGTTGAGACCTAATATGGAAACATTTCACCCTAAATAAAGTATTAAGCCCACTCAAACAAATGATGCAGAACCTAAATCAATCTAAGGTTGTAAAATGACACAACTTCCTCTTGTATGTGAGGAAATAGAATAATCTACTAACTAATGCTTAGAAAATAACCCCAGTAGCCCATAAAAGGTTCCTAAAACACAAAACCTATAACCCCCAAAACCTATTATGTGGTTAATTTGAAAGGAAATGTTTGGGCCTTGAGTTTTAATGCCTTGGTGTAATCCTTCTATTGCTGATTCAACAACTAACTGCTGGCAGTTGTGTTGGTATATGATAGATGATACTGCAGTGGCCAGCAGTGTTGTGGAGTCATTACCACGGGTTGACTCCTCCTCGGTGAGTGACAATGGTCCATACGGGGGCTGCTCAAACAATATGAACTGGTAGCGGTGAAAGCCAGTCTTCTTTGGCGGGGTTGGAGGAGAATAGTCTGCATGGAAGTACAAAGAATCTGAATCAGAAGAGCTGAGATTGGTGAATGATATTACATAGCAATATACTGTTTATGATTATCGCAATGTTACTGTGGGCAACAGTGGGCTAAATTATTTTCATTTTACGGTTTCTAGAGATCAATGATTCAAAAACGTCTTCATGCATGTAGATTTTTTTTAGACGTCAATAAACCAGTGGTAGCTGTGGATCCATAATATTGTAACCCTGAATTCCTAGCAATGTGATACAGTTTTCTTTTGATAAATCTTCTTTAAAGTTCAGATATTATGCAAAATTCACTTTTTGTGGCTTTTCAACATAAATGTGTTGCCAGTGTATCTAGAGGCCGACAAAATATGAGAAATTACCATTATCTCTGTTTTTTTACATCTATCAGCAAATATGTGTTCCAAAAAGCCCGTCCAATTAGCCTCTCCATATGACGTCCTATGGGGTTTGTTTAGCATAGCACCACCTTCAGGTAGGAGACCATCCTTGCCCATGGAATACATAAGGAATCTACCTCGCTGTTGACTATTGTCTTCACTACTGCCCACCCGAACATGAAAATGTCGTATTTACGGGCAAAGCACACAAACTTTTCAGTTGCTGGCTGCAAGAACCAACATAAAAGTATTTCCCTATCATCTGAGGATGTAAAAACCCAGTGAATTAAATGGATTTTTGACAAAAAAATGTGCCCACAACAACGAGGCAGAGTAAAAAGTATGTTTTAAAAAAAGTATTAAATCATTTTACCTCCATATTGTGTGGTACAGGCGTTTAATTCCCTTTTGCACACAACATTTGGCAAATCATCAAATGACACATCAATTATGAGTCATTCATTTGATCATTTGATACTTTGGTGCTCATGATTTCCATAAAATGAACTGAACAATTTGAACTGTGGAGAATCTAACAATGTCTAGCACGTCCATATTTACAAAAGGCAATCTAAGCAGCTTAGAACTCGCTGAAGTGTGCAACCAGGTGGGCTTTAAGATGTTTTATAAATACAAAGAACTTCTATAAAATCCAGACATGGGGTCTAATTGACACCCTGCTTTTTTAAGATTTACCGTAAACATAATAATAATAATAACAATAATAACAAAGTTCACTTAAATAGGTATAAATCCAAAATAATATTGTGGAATTAGTCCAAATAAAAATATATAATTTACGACATTACATTGTGCAGCTTACACAACATACAGAAGTAGAAGATAACCTTGTGTCATTAAAGTAAACTAAGATGAACTGAGTATAGTAATAAAAGTTACTAAATGAATGTCAATTGATAACCACACTTACCAGTGAGGGTTGTCCCTTGTATCTGTGCTTTCTTGAGTCCAGAGCCCTGATAATTCAGACACAGTCAGTCAGCCAAAGCATTCAGGAGATTTATGAAGGACAGTTAAATTAAATCTGAGACAAAAATCTATAGTTAATAATTTGACAAGACAGACAGTACAGTGGGGACATTACATTGCTTCCTACAACAGAAAATAATGCCACTCTTCCCTTAGTTTTGTGCTCCCACAGCCAAATATTCTGTGCTTGCTCAGCTCAGCGGTCAGTCCTTGAAATAGCACCCACTGTACCAACTAGAGAGAGGCTGGAGATGCCATTTAATTCCCAAGCCAATTTTATTTGGAGCAAATTTTGTTATAGTCTAAACTGCTGAATTTAACTAGATTAGACATATAAGTGTTACAGCATGCATAGATCCAATAAACATTGAGACTTAGGTGATGATTGGAGAAAGACAATCATACGTGCTGCTCGTAATTGTAAAATGTAACCTTACAGGAAGCTTCACTACCTCAAAATTGTTGGTTAAAATATGTCAAAGTCAAATATCTTGGAAGATCTTTTATATTAAAATCTGATGAGACAATTCCCAGACAAAAGACAGTTCCCAAGCAAATTAAACCACTGAGTGGATTTCCAGGTAGCAATTTCCCATATTATTAATTGTATATTAACTTCCTGTTGCCTAGAAACAGACATCATGTAACCCAATGTGAAGCGCAGATATTTTTCATAAGCATTTTCTACTGTATATTTGTCAGGTTAAACTCCCTCATCCCCAGGAAGCACACAGTCAGGCACCTCACACTGCAAATTGCACACAGGAATGTTTGTTTAATAGACTTGGCTGCTTACTGAAGACGGCTGCATCCTTGAGTGGGAGGAAAAAGGACTAAATATGTTGTCTGTGAAATGGCCCAAAACCCACTTGAGGTAAGCATGGAAGTCCCCATCAGGCATCAAATATCTGGTCTCAGCACCTATTTCAGTCCTCTTTTCTTCACACACACACACACAGGCTCCCCCCACAGGGTGACAAAGGTACTGTGTTACTAGACAGCTAGACTAGACAGTGAGGACAAAAGACATGCAGGACAGGAGGCTTTTTTTCTCTTTTATCTCCTTTGATCATTAAGCAAAAATCCCAGTTTGCTGAATGTCATAGTAGTATAAAAACCTTAAGCTGTATTTGTCTTTAGGGATGTGGACTTACCCAGAACATACAAAATATTTTGTAGATCTTAGAAACAGTGCAAACACATTTTGTACTCACCAATTATAATCTTTTTTTTAAAAAGGGATAAAAACATTAAACTGTTGGTAAGACAACATGATCCCCCTATTTCAGTAAACTAATGAATAACTGCAGTATTAGTGTTTAGATTATATTATTGAAAGAAAAAGGAAGATTTTGTTTGCTTTGTAGTCATATGTGGAACAAAGGACTAGGAAGCTGAACTGATCACTGTTTTTTTTTTAATACTGCTGCTGTCACATGATGAGTTTTTAGAGCTGACCATGGTACATAGTTTCAATAAAAATGTTATAGCTCTTGTCATAGCACATAATGTGTGCCAGATTAATTCACATACACTGTGATGATTTGTTTAGCGATATTAATTTGATCATTTATATTTGACCCTTTCAGTAAAATAATCCATCAGTAGCAAAGCATGTGTCCTCTGTTGTGCCCTGTCTCATTTATAATCCTGTAACTGCTGTTTAGGAGGTTTAGGGGTAAGTATTAGAGTGCAGAGCACCAGTGTTTACACAGAGACTGGTAAAATTCTGAAGATTAGTTTCAACTGAGAGTATCTTCATCCACTGATCAGTGAGAAAAAAAGCTTTATTTAGAAATAGCAAGAGTCCTGCAGCCTGCAGGATCCAAACCCATTGCCATAGCAACAGGTAGTCAACATTTGAGCGTGCAACATTTTCCCACATCTTAATGCTCGGTTCTCGCTCCCTCTCTGTGACACCCTCTGCCCTTTTAATTTCATTATAATACATAGAGTAGAAACAACAGCAAATGAATGCAATATTAAAATTCAGCCAAACAATAAAAGACAAGTCAATCACATGCAGAACTCACATAGAATAACATATATCAATATTCAAAGATATCAACATCTTCAAAATAATGTGGTTATGGTGGTTTAGAGCAGAACTGGTATCACAGTAGCTGTGACAGGGCAGGGCAGTGTTGAGGTCGCTGACTCTTGATGTTCACTGGGGAGTGACGGACTCGCTCACACTAATCTACAGGACATTCTCACATGGTGGGCGGCCTCCCTCAGGGACCCTGCTGTGGGGGCGGGGCACAAAGCGTGAAAAGTTCTGACCATGAAATGATTGACAGCCGCTTGCTGTGTTAATTGTGTTTATTAAGAAAGTTTCAGTTTAAAGAATGGGTTTTTAATAAATGTTCGGAAACACTTTAGACAGGTAGACATATTCACATTATCTTATGAGCACTTTATAATGGGGAACATATTCTGAGTTAGAAATACTTAATTTAACGTTATTTGGACACTATTTACACATGTAGTTTTGTTACATAAGAAAAGACCACAGTTTTTAAGTGTTATTAAGGGGGAATGAGTATTCTTGTGGTACTACCACCTTATACGGCCCATACTGAGCAAAGCATATTAAGATTGTAATATATGTACAACCTCTTAACTTACTATCACTCAGCATTAATTAGGAGGCTGGTGAGGGAAAACTCTTAGTTACTGGCCTAGTAGTTGTAGAATATAACCATGCAAAATAAGGCTATGTTAAAATAAGTGCCTTTCAATGACTAATAAAAAGTCAATATGCTACTAATATGCATGCTAATAGGTAACTAGATAATGGTGAATATATGTACCTTTAGGATAAATTTGTGGACAAAAGTAAAATGAAACAATGGCACGTAGAAGTACAGAAGATTTAAATGTTACTTGAGAGGTTGGAATTAGTTTGATCTAATTAAACTGAGCAAATGCATCTCGACCCTGTTGAATGATTTTCTTGTGAACCCCACCCGTGCAAAATCTGGGAATGATGATGTCATAAATTTGGGATATAATATGATTACAAAGCTCACACAATGTCTGTTCCTTTAGTGAGCTGGTGAACAAGCACTTACACAGGTTTCTCATTTAAGTTACTTCAACTACAGGATGATAGATGTTGCAGCTGGTTCCACCACAGAAAGTTTTTCATACAGTAAATCCATCACAGCTTTGTTAGGGGGAATCAAAAGCCACATAGTGCATTGATGAAGTTAATCTTGGATCAATGATATTCTCAGCTAGGATCATACTCAGAGCTCAGGGTTAGAAAAGTCAAAAGCGCTGGGACTCGCGTCGAGACACTGTAAAGCTCCCTGTTACAGAGCTGGGTCGTAACACTCCCCAATAAAAGCAGGAACAGTATACACTTTATACACTGAGGATAACTATCTTAAAATGCATACCATGTCTGGTGACAGTAGACATATCTCAAAAGAATGAAAATTAACCTGATAGATGTCATGAGAAGTATAAAAATTGATTTATTAAAATATGTTTTTGATGACTATGTCACATAGATGTAATATACAGATGAAGGTGATTTGATGTCTACTTCTTATATAATGTATTCTCCAGTATATTATACTGTGGCATATAAACGTTATACATTCATTAAAATAAATCTTACTTACACTCAAACATATACAGTAAGAACAGATCAGTCCCTCCAGGAAGGTGTGATGTTGCAATTGCCACAATTAACGCAAATTCAACCAATCCCCTTAAATTCTGCGGAGTTTGGTCCAATCACTGCAACTTTTCTGCAAATTTTACCAATCATAGCAGTGATTTTACATATTTTCTACATATTGACTTTCTCCCGCAATTTCATTGCGAAAAAATTTGTATGTGAAATCAGAATTTTTAGGCAAGAACAATCACAAAAAAAGCCTGGAGGGATACTCCAGTATAGTTATACTGACCAACCGCAAATATGTTTATTTTTGATCATCTGTGCCGGCCTCAAGCTGAGAAAAACATTACATAAGGACAGTTGTAATTGTACAGTATCTGCTCATAATACAAATGCAAGGCTTACTGTACAGCCTTTTCTTAACATATAGATTCACTAGTCGACTGAAAAGCAGCAGAAGATTTCAAATGTGTATCTTTACAATGAGACCTCAGAGTACTTAAAGCTGCTGTGTCAGTGTTTCAACTGTTGGAATTGATGTCATTTCAGCAGCTGAAAGTTGAAAGACTGGGAACTGTTTCATTATCTATGCAGTTACCAAGGAACTAGACTATCAGTGTGTATAAATATTTTCACATCTAAGCACTACATTTTAAATTCATGTTCATGAGTATCAATCATAACATAATTTCTTATATCATTCATAGAGCTAAATATATAAAATAACATCTAATCTTGTGGTCATATTGTATATTTTGGACTGCACACATATTTATATATTTATTTCATAGTTTTACCAAAGCCCAAATTTAAAAGAGTTAAATGTTTGTTTCTTTAAACTCTTCTTGTGTTATTTTATTGCTGCGATTATAAATCTTACTTTACTTTCCGCGAACATAAAATGGAAGTAAGTAATGTGAACTGTATGTGGTGGTGGGTGGAGGAAAGATGTGGGAGGATTGGGGAGGGTGTGTGATGGAGGAGGGTGAAAGTGTACATTTGTTTGTCTTTTAATGTGTGACTCTGAATGTGAAAATAAAAGAATAGTTTTAAAAAGACCTTTCCTTTCCTTGTGTGGCAGATATAAACGTTACAAGCATACATATATCATTTAACTGGTCACGTAATTGAGAAGATAAAGAAAAGCTTAGTAGTTTAAAGTTCTGTTGCAATTACAAAAATACTACACTACATTTGAAAATGGATAGTACTGATTTGAATAATGAATGAATCACCACAAATCGCTGTGACTAGATGTCAGTTTATGAATAGTTCCTGTCACCAAACCCTTATATCAAATCATTTATCATAGCAGCATTGAGGTTTGGTGATTATCAGTCAGAAAAATGTCAA